AAGCCAATAGGGGCACCTGCCCCAATCACTCTCTACCAGCCTAGGAAGAAGGCAATGGCAAACCACTTCCAAAAAACTTGCCAAGAAAAAACTGCAGAGACTAGTCAAGAGAGTGAGACTCTGTCTTGAAGCTGCAAATAAATACACATTTATATATACACATATTATTTAGTCAGCCTAGTATCCAAGTGTGTTCCAGCGCTACATTAATAATTCTAGGGAGCCTGCTTAACATAAGCACATAATACAGGTAGTCCTTGACTTACAACCCCATTGAGCTAAAAATTTCTATTGCTAAATGAGACCATTAAGTAAGTTGTACCCCATTTTACAACTTAAGATGTTAAGTGAATCACTGCAGTGAAGTTAGTAATAGTTATTAAGTGAATCTGACTTCTCCACTGACTTTGCTTGTCAGAAGGCTGCAAAAGATGATCACATGACCCCGTGACACGCAACTGTTATAAATATGAGCCAGTTGCCAAGTATCTAAATTTTGACCATGTGACCAGAGATATGCCGAAACAGTTATAAATGTGAAAAATAAGTCACTTTTGTCTGTGCTGTTGTAACTTTGAATGGTCACTAAACAAACGATTATAAGTTGTAGACTATCTGTAAACAGTTTGTGCAATAAAAACAAAGTCTGTTTCTAATGTAAAATTCTTTATATTATTTTTAATAGCAGTTAGAGATTTCATATTATAACCTGCAAATTACAGATAAGCTATTTCCAAAGATTCCAAAGATAATTTGGTAAATATTGGTTAGACTATTAAATTCCATTAGTTTCTTTAAAAACAGTGAAATACCCCAATTTTTCAAGGAACATGACTCTCTTCTGAATTTTGTTCCTAAATGAAAATGTTCAATTCCTTCATATACTTTTCAACATAGTTTGGTTTAGGTGCAAAATCTGTAGGATATTGCTTTATATAATCAGTGTAATAACTACTTTATTTGTATGGATACTGCATATTGACAGTTTTGTAGAGGAAAGACTGTTCATTGGGCATAATACCCCTTGTGGTATTAGATCCAGGTAAAACAGAATAAATTTATATTTAGAAGTCTGAAATAGAAATGTATAGCTGACAGTACTTCATTGCAATAAATGATTTTTGTTTAGCATTTGTCAATCTTTCTCAAAATATTTTCTGGTCTTAAAAGAAAGTAGGTAATTGAAAATATGAATATTCAAGTACTTTATATTTTAGATGTAATGGATTGATTGTTCAAATTTAATTATTTTAAAGAAAGCTTTAGTCACTATGTATAGACAAGAATGAACAGTATACCATTATACATGTAGTTTTCTAAATATTTTTTTCTGTTTTCAGAAGGTCCTTATGGAATATTTGCTGGCAGAGATGCTTCGAGGGGACTAGCAACTTTCTGTCTAGATAAAGATGCACTCAGAGATGAATATGATGATTTATCGGACTTAAATGCTGTGCAAATGGAAAGTGTTAGAGAATGGGAAATGCAGTTTAAAGGTAATTATTTTAATTGAAAGATTTTTCCATCAAATGGAATACAAGTCATAGAAATACAGCTCATCTTTTTTCAAATAGCATATACACATCTTGCTACAATAGTTGTGGCTTCTCTTTTACAACAGAGTAGTTAAAATTGTGTGTGTATGCATATATATTTATATATAAAGAAATAATAGGAAGACAACTTTGCTAGATTTCTATAACTTCTGGAGCTACATTTAAGAGAGGGTTTCTTTTTGTTGTCATTTTTTACTGGTCAAAGCTTTCCCCATTCTCATGATGGAGGTTTCTACAGTGGGGCTCAAAAGTGATCTTTTGAGAATGATACTAAAGAAGTGGGATGTGTCCTATATTTTAATTCCGTTACTCTTATCCTTGTATTTGAATCAATTAACTTAGAGGTCTGTGGAATCTCAATTTATTCCTTAAAGAAAATAGAGAAGATGGAAGCTTCTGAAAGCTTCTGAGTTAATATGAACCCGCTAGCTCATCTGTACTGCTTCTGATGTGGAGTTACTAAAGGAGAACATGTAATATTTTTTTACAGTGAAAAAAAGTTACGTTATCTTTGGAACATATAGTACCTTTTCATTTTTAAAGTAATTTTTGCAATACAAAAAGAGATGCATTACTTCAAGAAAATAGACAAGACAGCCATGAAATTAATTTATATATTTATGATAGCTTTGTAACAACAAATATAATAAATGTGATATCAACTGGATTTAAATATATGTATTATAATATTCTTTATATCTTTTCCAGAAAAATATGACTATGTAGGTAGACTCCTAAAGCCAGGAGAGGAACCATCAGAATATACAGATGAAGAAGATACCAAGGATCACACTAAACAAGAATGAACTTTGTAAATCACCAAAGTCAGGGGCCTTTGGAACTGTAACCTTTTATTCCCCATCAAAGAATGCCCTACAACTTGGGTATACTTCATCTACTACAGAAAATTTGTTTTATATATGATCCTTTCCTGATGAAGATTTGATTAGTAGGCATTCTTTGTGCTGCCAAACATTTATTTTTTCTTTCTTTTTTTTTTTTTGGGGGGGGGGGGGGGGGGGGGGGAGACGACAATTATCTGTGTCTGGAAAGGCTTCATTAATGGGGGCCAGGGATATAAAATGCAAAGAAAGCAATTTCTTGTAACATATTGAAGCCTTTGAACAGTTTATTATTTACAGGCTTACGTGTTTCATGTGTAACTTTACTTTTTGAGCTCTACATGGAAAACCTAGTTCTGTTAAGGAATCTATATAGTTAACGTAGCGGCTGAAACATAAATGGGACTGCTCAGACAAAACTACTTCAGAGCTCTGCAGATCATATAGTTTCAAATAAAATTCTCCTAAAGAATAGAATTTATTTGCAGACGATCTGAAATCTGCCTTCTATGCTTCTTTTTCCCTGAAATCAAAAAATATTTGTGCCTTATTTCACTTAGACTTGAATTGTTTTAGAGGAAAACCCAAAATATAACATGAGTCACTAAAAGCAGCATTGAAGATTGGCTAGAACAGTCAGTTAACTGGAACAGTTGATGTCATTTTGTATATAGAATATAAAGTAATACACAGTATTATAGATATATATAGATATATATATAAATAATGTGTGTGTGCGTCTATATACATACACATACAAACTTTAAAGAGTATAATGGCCAAATGCATTCTCCCTTTGCTTTTTAAATAAGCTCAGTTAGTACTTTTTCCATCTCCAGGGAACTCCTTAAAGGTGAGGAGCCTAACCTCATATCATTGTGAAATGAGGGTATGCATGGATGTGGGTGCTTGAGTGCAAAAAGTGGGAGGATGGTTCCTACAGATACTGTAAATATGAATACAATTTTAATAAAGCATGTAAAATATCAAATGTGCTGTCAGACTTTATGTAGATGCTGAAAAGCTAGTATTGGTGGCTAGGACTTTGTGTTTCAGGACAAAAAGAAAGAAAACAACTTAATATTTTTGCACTGTATTAAATAAACCATTGGCCAGATATTTTTTAATAATTTCATCATTAATTGTAATACATAAAATGCAACAGTTTCAGTGAATAAAAACTGGCATATATCTGCATAGAACATATATCTGAAAATGCTTTGGTGAATATGTCATTCTCCTTTCCTAGCCTATTAACTGCATCACTTTTTATTTTTTTGAGGTAGCAAGTACTTTCAGAAATGGAACTTAAATTATCTTCCATGTTTTGCAAACTAGTCAGAACACTAATCCAGTTGTGGCATCCAACATTAAAAAGAAAAAGCATGCAATAAAACATCAATTAGTCTGGCAAGAGGGAAATGTGATCTTCAGTATATCTGTTAAGAGTGTTTTCTACAAAAAAATGTGAAAAGTATCTGGTCCCAAATGACCAAATAGTTCTGGCCTTTGCTCAGGTTGGATTGTAAATAGTGATTATTGATAGTGTCAATAGAAAAATACTGTTCCCCCCTTTTTTGATGTGAACCTTTTGTTGCATTTATTTTTAATGTCTAAGCCTCCATTGATGAACCAGTTATAATTCTTCCACTCCAAAATTTTATTCTATAATTGAAATTATGCGGTCTGTTTTGAGAAATGAACAATTTGTGTTCTTTTATAAAAAAAATAAAAGTGTTCTGTAGATATATTGTTAGTGTTGTACTTCTCATTTCATTATAGGGAAACTATTGTAAGGAAATCTTGGCCTCATTTGAGGTAGACATTGTCAGTATTTTTTTTTTTGTTAATGATTTTTATTTGGGATGGTTCTGTCATTCTTCATGCTGTTTCACCCAATTTAATGTGTGCATTTGTGCATACAAATCATCAAGAAGAACGTTGTGCTTTTAAAATGTATTGTCAGTAATTTTGTTAGCCTTCGCTTTGCTTAACATCTCTGAAGGCCCTCAAGGCTCCAGCCATTATGCATATTTCTTCACATATATCACATCCCCACGAGTTAAAAGTAGATGTCTAAAATATGTAAACATGCTGAATTTCCTTTACAGGAGAAGCTTTTCATATTACTTAGTTTTAAGAGCAAAGGGAGTCATAACTAGAAACCTGCAAGTTGAACTATTTCATATTTCTAAACTGTCCAATTTCTCAATTCTTGGTGGTGTACAAATTTAAAACCAAAAAAAATGCAACATCAAGCTAATGAAAAAGCAAGATGATCATCCTAGAAATAAAAATGCCCCCAGCCCATCTTAACTCAAAGACTGACGAAAAAGCCAGGTTTCCAGCACTTATTTATATAGGAAAACAGGGTAAGGATCATTCAAATTTCCAAAGCAAAGCTGTGACAGAAAAGACTTGGGTCATGGCTACATTGTTCAAAAGATGGGATGCAGAACATGCCAAGTCAAATCTTACAGGATGGGCAAATACAGCAAAACATGGTTTCTCAAAATTACTATGTGCTATAAGAACCAAGGGTTTGTGGGTAATAATCAGCATTTTGAATTACACCTGTAATCCTAATCAGTGTGGTTTGCAAAGTAGAATAATGCAGACATTTTGCTGTTGAATTTAGCAAACAATTTTATTGTTTTGTTTCATGCTGCCTGTATAAAGTTGATACCAATTCTGAAGCCCCTCCCAATTTTAGTGCTATATGGGTGGAGTGCTATATGATCTTCATCTGGCATGATCACCAGATGAAATGTCACCTTTTCTTGATAGCTTAATTTTCCAATTGGTCTTAGTGGACAGCCCTACATAGAGCACATTATAACCTCTAACTAAGGCATGAATGAACATGAGAAAGGTTCAGGAATGGGTGCAACTAACAGACAAGGTAAATTGAGCAAAGACTTCCCTAGCTACAGCTGTCATTTGAGCAGATGCTAAAGACTTCCACATTACATAGCAGTATAATGCAACATTCACCAGAGATGGAAAAATGTGTCCAGAATGGGTGGGCAATTTTTCCAAGGGGCCACATGAGAAACAGACTCTTGTGGAGGGCTGCTGCCACCCTCTCCCACTGCTGATGCTACAGTGCAGTCCTGCCCTCCACCACTGCCCTACCCCCTGTGCCACAACACAGATGCTCTGCCCCATGGGCCAGATTGGCACCTCCCACAGGCCAGATGTGGCCAGTGGACCATAACATGTCCAGGTCTGATCCAGAAGGTCCATGCATCCCAGTCATGGTTACTTTTAGTAAATTTATATGATCCTCAGACCCCAATTTCTTAAAAAAACTGCTGAGTTTATGTGCTGCCTTTTAAAGAAAAATGGTCTAAACACATTGTATTTGTTTTTACAAATAATGTTGAGTATGATTTACTTATAGTTTGCATGCTGTTTCAATCCTGGAAACTGAGTGGCTCAAGGATTATCAGATGTGTTGATTCTTATGAGCAAAAATATTTGAATTAGTTTTCTCATAATCATTAAAAAAGACCTACCTAATATGATTGTATATGGCCCAATGCTTCCCATAATATTGCTTTCATTTAGGCAGTTCTTTTGTATAAAAGTTCTTTTCAAAAGTGTAGATCCAAATGATTTAACAAGCTGGCTATTCCAATTTCCTAGGACAAATATGGCACCACAAACTGATTTTTCAGGAGATACCACAGTCACTTCCAACAGAAGTTCACAAGAAGCATTTTTAGAGTTTGCCTATGTGCAATTTTTCAGCTATTGTTCATTTTACAAAACCTTTGCCTATCAAAAGGTGTGAGGAAACCTAGGCTATTTGCTTAGGTACAATTGCCAAATGATTATTTTCAGCAACAAAAAATCCAAATACTTCTATGATCCTTTATTGCTAATCTTTTTTTATGGAATAATTGTTTAGTTTGTGTATTTAGAACAACCTGTATTTAACCATATATTTATTTATTTATTTATTTATTTATTTATTTATTTATTTATTTATTTATTTGATTTGCCAATTGTTTACAAGATAATAAGTATAAGTGTATACATAGTTGTGAATACATGAAATGGGTACATATAAGAAAAATAAAAGAAGAATAAGAGAAACAATAGGACAGGGACGGTAGGCACGTTGGTGCGCTTATGCACGCCCCCTACAGACCTCTTAGGAAAGGGGTGAGGTCAATAGTAGACAGTCTAAGGTTAAAGTTTTTGGGGTTTGGGGAAGAAACTACAGAGTCGGGTAGAGTATTCCAGACATTGACCACTCTATTGCTGAAGTCGTATTTCCTGCAATCAAGTTTGGTGCGGTTAACTTTGAGTTTGTATCTATTGTGTGCTCTTGTGTTGTTATGGTTGAAGCTGAAGTATTCATTGACAGGAAGGACATTGCAATGTATGATTTTATATACCATGCTTAAATCAGACCGAAGACGGCGTAATTCAAGGTTTTCTAGTTCTAGAATTTCAAGTCTGGTGGCATAAGGTATTCTACAACGAGTAGAGGAGTGGAGAACTCTTCTTGTGAAATATTTCTGGACTTTCTCAATTGTGCTAATATCAGATACGTAATGTGGGTTCCAGACTGATGAACTGTATTCGAGTATTGGTCTAGCAAATGTTTTGTATGCTCTGGTTACTAGTGCGATATTACCAGAGAAAAAGCTACGTAGGATTAGGTTAACAACTCTTAATGCCTTTTTGGCTATGTAGTTGCAGTGGGCTCTAGCACTTAGATCATTAGAGGTGAGTATATCTAATGCTCAGGGATATTAATTAAATATCTGTCAGATGAACATTTTGCTGGAAAATTTGAGTATTCAGATTCTTTGTGATTTGGGGGATGAGCTAAACTGCAAAATCAGCTAAGTCCTCAATGTACCTTTTTACCTTTTATATTCCTTTTACAACCAGGAAACTGGGAGGATCTTTTGGTTTCAAGTAATGTTAACATATCCATTTATACTTTAGAATCCCTAACCTGTCTATATCTATAAACTACAGTCTGATCTTTCTTGTAGTTTTTTTTTTTTTTTTTTGGGGGGGGGGGG